ACAACACGGAGGCGAAAGGACGTAAGGGCAGGAATCCTTTTATTGTTGTCCAGGAACACAGTGCGAAGACCCCCCACGCTGTCTCTATATGCTGGAACGTTACTTACTCGGGAACTCCTCTACCTAACCTGACTAGCCCACAACACGGGAACACCCGCCTCCCCCAATCACTGGCCGCCCCCTGCCTAGCACGCACAGCGACTCCCCATGATTGGCCGGAGTGAGGGGAATCACGTGACACACCGAACTAAAGCCTAGTTTATGGTTGTGCGTTTTCAGAGAGATGCAAGGACACGCACATGGAAGAGACCCTTGCGTGCCCCTTGCGTGCCTTTTGACCTTTTCTTGCGTGCGTCGACCCAATTTTCTAAACTAGCGTCAAAAGCAACGCAAGCCTCACACAGCCCGCAAGGCTGCAATTGGTCTGCTGACTACATCCTTTCCAGAGTCTCACATTTCTGGTTTCATAGCACAATACTGCTATTTTTAAAAGGAAGCTTTTTGAAGAGAGAATGAATCAGATTGAAGAGCGTTTGTTGCAAGAAATCCGTACATTTGACCTCTAATACAACCCTTCATTGGTGGACTATAAGAACGCGCAGAATGCCTCCAATTCATGGAGGGAGATCTCCGCAAACGTCAAAATGAACAAACCAACAACTTCCAGACACAAAGATGTCAATCTCTAGGTCGTCTTTGACAAAAAACGTTGCTCCACCTAGTGTTCTGGCAGTGAATTGCTCTGCAACACACGCAACCCTTTTAGAAGCATGGATTGAAACGAGTCCATCGATAAGACGAAGCGCGAAAAGCCGCGGACACAGTTGCAGAAGCATACCAGCGGCTTAACCCACACACTCCTGAACAGGGCCGCTACAATACGATATTTGCCAAAGCACTTTGCTTAGTTTTTGCAAACCTCAAATACACTTGTTAATTGTTACTAACAATAATTATTAACAATGATTTCCACAACAGTAATAGGAAACACATCCATCCATCCATCCATCCATCCATCTTCAACCGCTTATCCGGGGTCGGGTCGCGGGGGCAACAGCTCCAGCAGGGGACCCCAAACTTCCCTTTCCCGGGCCACACCTACCAGCTCTGACTGGGGGATCCCAAGGCGTTCCCAGGCCAGTGCAGAGATATAATCTCTCCACCTAGTCCTGGGTCTTCCCCGGGGCCTCTTCCCAGCTGGCCGTGCCTGAAACACCTCCCTAGGGAGGCGCCCAGGGGGCATCCTCACCAGATGCCCAAACCACCTCAACTGGTTCCTTTCGACGCAAAGGAGCAGCGGCTCTACTCCGAGCTCCTCGCGAATGGCTGAGCTTCTCACCCTATCCCTAAGGGAGACGCCAGCCACTCTCCTGAGGAAACCCATTTCGGCCGCTTGTACCCGTGACCTAGTTCTTTCGGTCATGACCCATCCTTCATGACCATAGGTGAGGGTAGGAACGAAGATTGACCGGTAGATCGAGAGCTTTGCCTTCCGGCTCAGCTCTCTTTTCGTCACAACGGTGCGGTAAAGCGAGTGCAATACCGCCCCCGCTGCTCCGATTCTCCGGCCAAACTCACACTCCATCTTCCCCTCACTCGTGAACAAGACCCCGAGGTACTTGAACTCCTTCACTCGGGGTAAGGACACATTCCCTACCTGGAGTAGGCAATCCATCGGTTTCCTGCTGAGAACCATGGCCTCAGATTTAGAGGTGCTAATCCTCATCCCGACCGCTTCACACTCGACTGCGAAACGCTCCAGTGAGAGTTGGAGGTCACAGACGGAAGATGCCATCAGGACCACATCATCTGCAAAAAGCAGCGATGAGATCCGCAGCCCCCCGAACTGTAGACCCTCCTCCCCCCGACTACGCCTCGATATCCTGTCCATGAAGACCACAAACAAGATTGGTGACAAGGCGCAGCCCTGGCGAAGGCCAACCCCCACCGGAAACGCCTTCGACTTACTGCCGAGCACCCGAACACAGCTCTCGCTTTGGGCGTACAAGGATTGGATGGCCCCAAGCAAGGACCCCCTCACCCCGTACTCCCGCAGCACCTCCCACAGTATCTCTCGGGGGACCCGGTCATACGCCTTCTCCAAGTCCACAAAACACATGTAGACTGGTTGAGCATACTCCCAAGCCCCCTCTATGATCCTGGAAAGAGTGAAGAGCTGGTCCGTTGTTCCACGACCAGGACGAAAACCGCATTAATAGGAAACACAGATATATTTAAACATGGAACATTTATTTCTGTTAATGTATTTTAAAGTCAGAGCTGCTCTGCATACACCTCTGTACTTCTGTGTCCACAAGGCCCCAAAGGTTTGGCACAGACTGATGGGTTTTAACGTGGAGGTCATTTGGCAGTGTTACAATTTCAATCTCCACTTGTCCAGTATCCGCATTGAACATAGCACTAGAACAAGGCACACATAACTAAGTGCTGCCAGAAGAGTGCAGATCTGAGGCAAGTGTGACAGCATCAATCACAGTCTTAATGTTAAGTAAACCTAAAACTCTGTTTCGTATCTTTGTCAATTTAAATCCAAAAATTAGAGGATTCATCACAGGGGGAATAACAAATTCTATAGAGATGAAGTTCTGAAGGCTCTGATGAAAAATAAAATCATGCAGTAATACAGTAAAGTGAATGCAAAGAGTGTTACTCTGTAATAATTTGTCTTGATTAACCCTGATAGAATGAACATTTTTACCACAAACATTATCCATAATAAAATAAGTACTTGTCATACCTCTTATTATTACACATTTTATTATTACACACAATTATTACATATTACACATTTTATCATGGGTATGCCATTTCTGGAGCTAAAGCCAAATTACAGCCTCAGAGTGGAGCTGACACACCTGAGACTCAAGCCTGCGGGAGGCTGGTGCAAACAGCTTCGTGGATAGAAAAGAGAGAGAGTGTATGTTGGTTGGTTGAGATGCTTGTGTGAGAATCATGCATCCGGTTGCTGCCGTGACAGAAAGTTATATAACTTTGATTTGTATACGTTCAATTGAACATTAAAGCCAGATTGATGCAGTCACACCTGCCATTCATCTGCACTCTACTGGGAGCATTTAGTTTTGTGTGTCATTCTGCCATGCAATCCACATTCTTAGGTGGGTTGATTCTGTTACACAGTGCAACAGTTAGTCTAGTTTTCAATTTTTTTTAATCTAGAAATATGATTGTGGGGTGTAGGTCCATGACACTCTTGTGCACTATATTTACCATTTTTTCTGGTTGACAATAATTGCATTGTGTGTATGGAACAGATTAAAATGTCCATTTGGTCATACATTTAACAAGTAGCATATGATTCATACACATAAAAGTTAAAGATGGATCTTCAACCAACACTGAATTTGGAAACGCTTTGTTAATCAACATACATTGAGGGTTTTATTCATCAGTCGTGGAGAGCAGATTGGGATATTCTGCAGACATATTCATATATCCTCAAACAAAAACATCAAACATGAATTTATTTCTCTTAATTGATTTAATTGAGATTGACCTCAATGACGATAATTTTCTTGCAAAAAAACGCAACCTAAAATTCTGTTTCGTATCTTCGTCAATTTAAATCCATAGACTAGAGGATTCATCACAGGAGGCAAGAGGAGGATTTCGATAGCAATGAAGTTCTGAAAGCTCTGAGGTAAATCTGTTGAGCCAAATCGCATATGCATTAAATCAAAAAGAACTGCAACAATGAACGTAAATAAAGAGGCTAAATGAGGCACACACGTCTGCATAAACTTCACCCTTTCATTCTTGGACTTCACACACGTTCTAATAAGATGCATATAGGTCCAGATTATGAATAATCCATGAAAGAAATATATGATTATTGTAAAATATGCAGTAATGTTGTTCGAAAAGGTGTCAGATTCATAGCAAGCAAGTTTAACAATTACCCAGTTCACACAAAACAGTCTGTCAATCTTTACGCCACATAACTTCAGTCTTGACGTCAGCAGAACATTGATGGAAAAGATGCAGAAAGGTGTGAACCAGGAGAAACATATCAGCTGAGAGACCTTCCTCTTTGTCATGACAGACTGGTAGTGAAGAGGTCGACATATAGCCAGATATCTGTCATAGGCCATGACTGCTAGGATGGATACTTCACAACAAGCAAACGAATACATGACAAAAGCCTGTAAAAGGCACCATTCATAGGAAATCTGTTGAGAGGAAGAAAACAGATCTAAGAGGAACTTGGGGTAGAAACCTGTGGTCCCATAAAGACCATTCATGCAAAAACTACACAATAAAATGTACATGGGTTCATGTAAGTTTTGATCCAAGATGATAATCATGATGATAGAAATATTGAAAAACAAAATCATACAGTAATACAGTAAAGTGAAAGTAAAGAGTGTTACTCTGTAATCATTTGTCTCGTTTAACCCTGATAGAATGAAGAATCTTACCACAGAAACATTATCCATAATAAGATAAGTACTTGTCATACCTTTCTCCTCAAATTCTTCTTTGTCAGTGTCACACCATGAATGCATACAGAAGGAAGGTTTACACGGTGAAGAAGCTACACCCCCATCAAAGGCCGTTGTCCCTCTACACCTTCTTTTATAACACCTTTGGCAACAACAACAAATCCAACTGGGAATTTAAACTCAAAAGCTAGAAAGCAAAGTTAAAGTAGCCGTGATGAAAACAAGCACACTGTGTCTATACATTTATATTAGGGCTGTCAATAGATCTCAAAAAATAACTAATTAATCGCACATTTTGAAATTTATTAATCGCGATTAATGAATCTTTGTTGCTTTTCTTTTAAAGAAATTAACTTGCAGCCCAGCATATCTCAGTATGCTGTGCAGGCGAACGAGGATTTCATTTATTCAGGATGGAGGCGGGTGAGCCGACTTCACTTCACTTTTAAATGCAAATGTAATAGAATTCACTCTAATATATACCAATAGAATGTTATAATAAAACATATAACATCACATCTTAGTCTATCCTTGGCCGATTTAAATGTAACAACATATTTTAACGCAGTTAACGTACGTTTGTTTACGCCCGGTTTACTTCCAGAATTCACTGCTGGAAGTTATTACTGAAGCCTCCTGCCCGTAACTATCAAGCACCTGCCAGCCAATCACGGGAGAGAGGGTCTACCATAAATCTGACGTCAAGCATTTAAAAACCAAAATGTATTTTCTGCAAACCAACTCGTGATATCTCATTACACATGACATTTTGAATGCTATATCTTATTTTTGTCAGTTTCAAACCATATATCAAGGGATTGATAATTGGAGGAATGAGGAGAAATTCCATTGCCATTAAATTTTGCGCACCTTGTGGTTCTTTGACCCAAATCGTATGTACAACAAATCAAACAGCAAAGAAGCGACTACTATGATTAAAGAGAACAAATGTGGTACACATGTCTGCATGAATTTAGTCATGTTCTCTTTGGATTTCCGGCATCTTCTAATCATATATATATATAAGACCAACAAACAAACACACAATGGGCAAAATAAAAAGTATAATTGAAAGCTGGGATTACAATTGCTGCAACGGAGGCAGAACAAGCCATTCTAGAAATCAACCAATTAACACAGAAGATCTTTGGTATGTGTGAGCCGCATAACCTCGTAGTCGCAGTTGTTACTGTGCCCATGAGTATCAGGAAAAAGGGAATAAGCCAAGCAAAAAACTCAAAAACACACATTCTCTGTTTAGTCATCAGAGTGGTACGCCAGAGGCCGACATATAGCAACATATCTGTCGTAGGCCATGAGCACCAGAAGAGAAAAATCAGCACAAGCCGAAGAGTGCAACACAAAACCCTGCAGAAGGCATCCAGCATAAGAGATGACGTGTGTGGGATACATTACATTACATTACAGGTCATTTAGCAGACGCTTTTATCCAAAGCGATTTACATTACACTTTAATACCCATGGCTTTTTTTCACATTTTTGCCTGGGGAGCAATTAGGGGTTAGGTGTCTTGCTCAGGGACACTTCGACATGGAACATGGGGCAGCCTGGCCTGCGCCACGACGACAGTAGATCCATGAAGAATTTGGGGTAAAAGCCTGCTGTCCCGTAGAGTCCATTGAGGCACAGGTTGCAGAGGAAGATGTACATGGGCTCGTGGAGCTTTTTGTCCGCAATGACTGTCACAATAATGGTCAAATTTACCAGCCATATCACAACAACGTCAGAGCAAAGAGAAGACCTCTGTAGTGTGTTGTCTCACTTAAACCTGAAAGAGTAAACATAGTTATTACTGAAACATTATCCATCACAACATTTTACAGTTTCACATTTGAATACTTAACAGAGAGAAATGGCCATTGTTCAACCTCAACAGTGGGAGGAAAAATGGTGCATTCCCGATTGTGGCCACCAGTCCTCTTACATGATGTGTAACCAGTGGTTTATATTCTCTCATGACAGTTCCCCTCAATACCATTGTTGATATGGGACTTGAAATCCTAATCATGGATGTGGCAGTCAAAAACAACACTTCATTTTAGTTTTTGTAAGACTTTAAATCCCTGAAATAAAACAGAAGTCTAAATAAATAAAGCCTTTCCCCCTGACTGCCAAATTAAGCAATAAATTGTGAGTCTCTAACTTATTAATTTAAGATACATTTAGTAGATTCTCTTATATCTCATTTTGAGTTCATCCAACCTCTTTTGGTGTGATCAGCCTTGCAGCCGTTTTGCAGTGAGTACAGGGAACAATCAGTTGTTTTGGTTTGGTCGTGTTTGCAGAATTAAATTAGACCTAAACTGCATTGTAACAGAATCAACCCACCTGAGGACGTGGATTGCATAACATAACACACAAAACTAAATCAACCTCCAGGTAATGGGACGGGGTCGAGGTTAAAAAAATGAATAGGTTGTGCCTGTGCCTGCAATGATGTTGTGTGGATAGTTGGAGGTCACAGACAGAAGATGCCATCAGGACCACATTATCTTCAAAAAGAAGCAACGAGATTCGCAGCCCCCCAAACTGTAGACCCTCCTCCCCCCGACCACGCCTCAATTTTCTGCCCATGAAAACCACAAACAAGATTGGTTACAAGGCGCAGCCCTGGCGAAGACCAACTCTCCCTGGAAACGCTTCTGACTTATTGCTGAGCACCCAAACAAAGCTCTCGCATTGGGCATACAGGGATTGGATGACCCCAAGTAGCAACCCCCACACCTCCCGCAGCAACTCCCACATTATCTCTCGGTGGACCCGGTCATACGCCTTCTCTAGGTCCACAAAACACATTTAAACAGGATGATTATACTCCCAGGCCGCCTACATGATTCGTGAAAGAGTAAAGAGCTGGTCCGTCGTTCCACGACCACGACGAAAACCGCATTGTTCCTCTTCAATCCTTGGTTCGACTATCAGCCCAACCCTTTTATCCAGCACCTTAGAGTAGACTTTACCTGGGAGGCTGAGTAGTGTGAAACCCCTGTAATTGGCACACACTCTGTGGTCCCCCTTTTTGAAGAGGGGCACCACCAGCCCGGTCTGTCACTCTTTTGGCACTGTCCCGTACTTCCACGCAATGTTAAAGAGGCGTGTCATCCAAGACAGCCCCCCCCCCAACACCCATTGCTTTTAGCATCTCTGGACAGAGCTCATCAATTCCCGGGGCTTTGCCACTGCGGAGTTGTTTGACTACCTGAGTGACCTCCACCAAGGATCAGGAATCAGGAAACATTTATTGCCAAAATATGTCAAACATATGAGAAATTTGTCTTGGCGGTTGGTGCGTGACAGTAGATAGTGTAACAATAGACAACAAGACAGCAGTGCACAAGTAATAAAATAAAATGAAATGCTAATGCAATGGGTTAGTAGAATAAGGCTATGGGTTAGTATAAAATACGAATAAAGTTAAAGTTAAAAACTAAAAACATTTAAAAAGTTAAAAAATATTAAAAAATAAAGTGCATTATCGAACAAGTGACAAAGTGACGAGTGACAACAAAGTGACGAGTGAGAAATGACAGTTAAAGTGACAAGTGACACATGGGGGCCGGGCTTCCTCCGGGCCGGGTAGCTCCTTCCCTCTTCCACTTTTCCATAGGGTGTTTTGCCTAGTATGCTTTTGTGTGAACTTGAGACTCCTGTATACGTTAAGAGAAGAGGACGCAGCAATGACGTGTGCCGTTGGCGTGTAAAGCGCCTTTGCAACAACTTTTAACCAACCCAGAGCCAGCTCCGTTCTTGTTCAATGAACTTATCAAACAAATACATCAGACACCAGCTTGTTTTAACCAAAAAGAGATGACTACGGCCGTATTATGGAAAATGTATACAACCTGATGGATGTCTTTGTTCTTGGTTCTTGAGCGGAAGCATAGACAGTAATGGACAGTGTATTGTGAAAGCTCAGAAAACCTCTGTGTCAAATAGTTTTTTATTAAAAACACTTAGTATAACTCAACGAATCCTGAAGTTCCTCATGACAGCCTAAAGGTTTTTGAACACAAAAGAAGACACGCACTTAATAAAACAAAACATTCGGTTTCTGCTTTCAGCAAATATGAATCCATGAACCAGAGGATTCATAACTTAAAGAATTAACAGGATTCTAAAGGTATGAAATTCGGTATGAAGTTTTGTAGAAACATAAACATAACGGTGGGGTGCGGGTCTATGACACTCTTCATATGTATTTTTTGGCCCTTGAAATGTCTCCATATATTCCTGCTTTACATTAATTTCATTACATGCATGTAACATAACATTAAAATATCCATTTCGTCATACATGTTACATGTAGCATATGACTCATGCACATAAAAGTTAGATATATCTTCAACAAACTAAAAACTGAAATGCTTTGTTAGTCAACATACACTGAGTGTTGTTTTCATCAGTCAATCAGTCAATCAATCTTTCTAACGTTAAATACGGGGATATGGATTTTTCACTATTACTTCATGTCACTATGAAATGGTAGTCTCTACAGCCCCCCCTACACTCACTAATACTGTAGCGTCTTGGGTGTAGTGGCTCACTCACAACACGGAGGCGAAAGGACGTAAGGGCAGGAATCCTTTTATTGTTGTCCAGGAACACAGTGCGAAGACCCCCCACGCTGTCTCTATATGCTGGAACGTTACTTACTCGGGAACTCCTCTACCTAACCTGACTAGCCCACAACACGGGAACACCCGCCTCCCCCAATCACTGGCCGCCCCCTGCCTAGCACGCACAGCGACTCCCCATGATTGGCCGGAGTGAGGGGAATCACGTGACACACCGAACTAAAGCCTAGTTTATGGTTGTGCGTTTTCAGAGAGATGCAAGGACACGCAAATGGAAGAGACCCTTGCGTGCCCCTTGCGTGCCTTTTTACCTCTTCTTGCGTGCGTCGACCCAATTGTCTAAACTAGCGTCAAAAGCAACGCAAGCCTCACACAGCCCGCAAGGCTGCGATTGGTCTGCTGACTACATCCTTTCCAGAGTCTCACATTTCCGGTTTCATAGCACAATACTGCTATTTTTAAAAGGAAGCTTTTTGAAGAGAGAATGAATCAGATTGAAGAGCGTTTGTTGCAAGAAATCCGTAAATATGACCTCTAATACAACCCTTCATTGGTGGACTATAAGAACGCGCAGAATGCCTCCAATTCATGGAGGGAGATCTCCGCAAACGTCAAAATAAACAAACCAACGACTTCCAGACACAAAGATGTCATTCTCTAGGTCATCTTTGACAAAAAACGTTACTCCACCTAGTGTTCTGGCAGTGAATTGCTCTGCAACACGCGCAACCCTTTTAGAACCATGAATTGAAACGAGTCCATCGATAAGACGAAGCGCGAAAAGCCGCGGACGCAGTTGCAGAAGCATACCAGCGGCTTAACCCACACACTCCTGAACAGGGCCGCTACAAAACAATATTTGCCAAAGCACTTTGCTTAGTTTTTGCAAACCTCAAATACACTTGTTAATTGTTACTAACAATAATTATTAACAATGATTTCCACGACAGTAATAGGAAACACAGATATATTTAAACATGGAACATTTATTTCTGTTAATCTATTTTAAAGTCAGAGCTGCTGTGCATACACCTCCGTACTTCTGTGTCCACAAGGCCCCAAAGGTTTGGCACAGACTGATGGGTTTTAACGTGGAGGTCATTTGGCAGTGTTACAATTTCAATCTCCACTTGTCCAGTATCCACTTGTTTAAATCCAAAAATTAGAGGATTCATCACAGGGGGAATGACAAATTCTATAGAGATGAAGTTCTGAAGGCTCTGATGAAAAATAAAATCATGCAGTAATACAGTAAAGTGAATGCAAAGAGTGTTACTCTGTAATAATTTGTCTTGATTAACCCTGATAGAATGAACATTTTTACCACAAACATTATCCATAATAAAATAAGTACTTGTCATACCTCTTATTATTACACATTTTATTATTACACACAATTATTACATATTACACATTTTATCATGGGTATGCCATTTCTGGAGCTAAAGCCAAATTACAGCCTCAGAGTGGAGCTGACACACCTGAGACTCAAGCCTGCGGGAGGCTGGTGCAAACAGCTTCATGGATAGAAAAGAGAGAGAGTGTATGTTGGTTGGTTGAGATGCTTGTGTGAGAATCATGCATCCGGTTGCTGCCGTGACAGAAAGATAGATAACTTTGATTTGTATACGTTCAATTGAACATTAAAGCCAGATTGATGCAGTCACACCTGCCATTCATCTGCACTCTACTGGGAGCATTTAGTTTTGTGTGTCATTCTGCCATGCAATCCACATTCTTAGGTGGGTTGATTCTGTTACACAGTGCAACAGTTAGTCTAGTTTTCAATTTTTTTTATCTAGAAATATGATTGTGGGGTGTAGGTCCATGACACTCTTGTGCACTATATTTACCATTTTTTCTGGTTGACAATAATTGCATTGTGTGTATGGAACATAAGATTAAAATGTCCATTTGGTCATACATTTAACAAGTAGCATATGATTCATACACATAAAAGTTAAAGATGGATCTTCAACCAACACTGAATTTGGAAACGCTTTGTTAATCAACATACATTGAGGGTTTTATTCATCAGTCGTGGAGAGCAGATTGGGATATTCTGCAGACATATTCATATATCCTCAAACAAAAACATCAAACATGAATTTATTTCTCTCAATTGATTTAATTGAGATTGACCTCAATGACGATAATTTTCTTGCAAAAAAACGCAGCCTAAAATTCTGTTTCGTATCTTCGTCAATTTAAATCCATAGACTAGAGGATTCATCACAGGAGGCAAGAGGAGGATTTCCATAGCAATGAAGTTCTGAAGGCTCTGAGGTAAATCTGTTGAGCCAAATCGCATATGCATTAAATCAAAAAGAACTGCAACAATGAACGTAAATAAAGAGGCTAAATGAGGCACACACGTCTGCATAAACTTCACCCTTTCATTCTTGGACTTCACACACGTTCTAATAAGATACATATAGGTCCAGATTATGAATAATCCCTGAGATAAATATATGATTAATGTAAAATATGCAGTAATGTTGTTCGAAAAGGTGTCAGATTCATAGCAAGCAAGTTTAACAATTGCCCAGTTCACACAAAACAGTCTGTCAATCTTTACGCCACATAACTTCAGTCTTGACGTCAGCAGAACATTGATGGAAAAGATGCAGAAAGGTGTGAACCAGGAGAAACATATAAGCTGGGAGACCTTCCTCTTTGTCATGACAGACTGGTAGTGAAGAGGTCGACATATAGCCAGATATCTGTCATAGGCCATGACTGCTAGGATGGATACCTCACAACAAGCAAACGAATACATGACAAAAGCCTGTAAAAGGCACCATTCATAGGAAATCTGTTGAGAGGAAGAAAACAGATCTAAGAGGAACTTGGGGTAGAAACACGTGGTCCCATAAAGACCATTCATGCAAAAACTACACAATAAAATGTACATGGGTTCATGTAAGTTTTGATCCAAGATGATAATCATGATGATAGAAATATTGAAAAACAAAATCATACAGTAATACAGTAAAGTGAATGTAAAGAGTGTTACTCTGTAATCATTTGTCTCGTTTAACCCTGATAGAATGAAGAATCTTACCACAGAAACATTGTCCATAATAAGATAAGTACTTGTCATACCTTTCTCCTCAAATTCTTCTTTGTCAGTGTCACACCATGAATGCATACAGAAGGAAGGTTTACACGGTGAAGAAGCTACACCCCCATCAAAGGCTGTTGTCCCTCTACACCTTCTTTTATAACACCTTTGGCAACAACAACAAATCCAACTGGGAATTTAAACTCAAAAGCTTGAAAGCAAAGTTAAAGTAGACGTGATGAAAACAAGCACACTGTGTCTATACATTTATATTAGGTCAATAGATCCCAAAAAATGACTAATTAATCGCACATTTTGAAATTTATTAATCGCTTTGTTGCTTTTCTTCTAAAGAAATTAACTTGCAGCCCAGCATATCTCAGTATGCTGTGCAGGCGAACGAGGATTTCATTTATTCAGGATGGAGGCGGGTGAGCCGACTTCACTTCACTTTTAAATGCAAATGTACTAGAATTCACTCTAATATCTACCAATAGAATGTTATAATAAAACATAACATCACATCTTAGTCTATCCTTGGCCGATTTAAATGTAACAACATATTTTAACGCAGTTAACGTACGTTTGTTTACGCCTGGTTTACTTCCAGAATTCACTGCTGGAAGTTATTACTGAAGCCTCCTGCCCGTAACTATCAAGCACCTGCCAGCCAATCACGGGAGAGAGGGTCTACCATAAATCTGACGTCAAGCATTTAAAAACCAAAATGTATTTTCTGCAAACCAGCTCGTGATATCTCATTACACATGACATTTTGAATGCTATATCTTATTTTTGTCAGTTTCAAACCATATATCAAGGGATTGATAATTGGAGGAATGAGGAGAAATTCCATTGCCATTAAATTTTGCGCACCTGGTGGTAAATCTTTTGACCCAAATCGCATGTACAACAAATCCAACAGCAAAGAAGCGACCACTATGATTAAAGAGAACAAATGTGGTACACATGTCTGCATGAATTTAGTCATGTTCTCTTTGGATTTCCGGCATCTTCTAATCATATATATATATAAGACCAACAAACAAACCCACAATGGGCAAAATAAAAAGTATAATTAAAAGCTGGGATTACAATTGCTGCAACGGAGGCAGAACAAGCCATTCTAGAAATCAACCTATTAACACAGAAGATCTTTGGTATGTGTGAGCCGCATAACCTCGTAGTCGCAGTTGTTACTGTGCCCATGAGTATCAGGAAAAAGGGAATAAGCCAAGCAAAAAACACAAAAACACACATTCTCTGTTTAGTCATCAGAGTGGTACGCCAGAGGGCGACATATAGCAACATATCTGTCGTAGGCCATGAGCACCAGAAGAGAGAAATCAGCACAAGCCGAAGAGTGCAACACAAAACCCTGCAGAAGGCATCCAGCATAAGAGATGACGTGTGTGGGAGACAGTAGATCCATGAAGAATTTGGGGTAAAAGCCTTCTGTCCCGTAGAGTCCATTGAGGTACAGGTTGCAGAGGAAGATGTACATGGGCTCGTTGAACTTTTTGTCCGCAATGACTGTCACAATAATGGTCAAATTTACCAGCCATATCACAACAACGTCAGAGCAAAGAGAAAACCTCTGTAGTGTGTTGTCTCACTTAAACCTGAAAGAGTAAACATAGTTATTACTGAAACATTATCCATCACAACATTTTACAGTTTCACATTTGAATACTTAACAGAGAGAAATGGCCATTGTTCAACCTCGACAGTGGGAGGAAAAATTGTGCATCCCCGATTGTGGCCACCAGTCCTCTTACATGATGTGAAACCAGTGGTTTATATTCTCTCATGACAGTTACCCTCAATACCATTGTTGATATGGGACTTGAAATCCTAATCATGGATGTGGCAGTCAAAAACAACACTTCATTTGAGTTTTTGTAAGACTTTAAATCCCTGAAATAAAACAGAAGTCTAAATAAATAAAGCCTTTCCCCCTGACTGCCAAATTAAGCAATAAATTGTGAGTCTCTAATTTGAGATCATTTTTGTATATTCTCTTACATCTCATTTTGAGTTTATCCAACCTCTTTTGGTGTGATCAGCCTTGCAGCCGTTTTGCAGTGAGTACAGGGAACTGTCATTATGAGTTGTTTTGGTGTGGTCGTGTTTGCAGCATTAAATTAGACCTAAACTGCATTGTAACAGAATCAACCCACCTGAGGACGTGGATTGCATAACATAACACACAAAACTAAATCAACCTCCAGGTAATGGGACGGGGTCGAAGTTAAAAAAATGAATAGGTTGTGCCTGTGCCTGCAATGATGTTGTGTGGATAGTTGGAGGTCACAGACAGAAGATGCCATCAGGACCACATTATCTTCAAAAAGAAGCAACGAGATTCGCAGCCCCCCAAACTGTAGACCCTCCTCCCCCGGACCACGCCTCAATTTCCTGCCCATGAAAACCACAAACAAGATTGGTTACAAGGCGCAGCCCTGGCGAAGACCAACTCTCACTGGAAATGCTTCTGACTTATTGCTGAGCACCCAAACAAAGCTCTCGCATTGGGCATACAGGGATTGGATGACCCCAAGTAGCAACCCCCACACCTCCCGCAGCAACTCCCACATTATCTCTCGGTGGACCCGGTCATACGCCTTCTCTAGGTCCACAAAACACATCTAGACAGGATGATTATACTCCCAGGCCCCCTCCATGATTCGTGAAAGAGTAAAGAGCTGGTCCGTCGTTCCACGACCACGACGAAAACCGCATTGTTCCTCTTCAATCCTTGGTTCGACTATCAGCCCAACCCTTTTATCCAGCACCTTAGAGTAGACTTTACCTGGGAGGCTGAGTAGTGTGAAACCCCTGTAATTGGCACACACTCTGTGGTCCCCCTTTTTGAAGAGGGGCACCACCAGCCCGGTCTGTCACTCTTTTGGCACTGTCCCGTACTTCCACGCAATGTTAAAGAGGCGTGTCATCCAAGACAGCCCCCCCAACACCCATTGCTTTTAGCATCTCTGGACAGAGCTCATCAATTCCCTGGGCTTTGCCAATGCGGAGTTGTTAGACTACCTGAGTGACCTCCACCAGGCAAATTGAGGATGTACATACACCACTCTGGTTCAATGTCCCCTACCTCCACAGGAATGTGAGAGAAGCTCGGCCGGAGGTATGAGTTGAAGAGTTCCACGTCCCTAGAGCCAGCATATGCCGCCCAGGTCTGTTCCGGCTTGACCCCCCGCTTTCACTGCCACCGTTGTAGCAGTGGACCCGACCCCATCAGACTCCCCCACAGGTGGTGAGCCCATGGGAATTTGCGATCCGGGGTGGCGCGTCACTCCGTCGAGCTGTGCCCATCCGGGGTCTGCGGCAAGCCCGGCCACAAGACGTTCCCTGACGAGCCCCCCATCTGCGCCTGGCTCCAATAAGGATCAGGAATCAGGAAACATCTATTGCCAAAATATGTCAAACATACAAGGAATTTGTCTTGGCGGTTGGTGCGTGACAGTAGATAGTCTAACAATAGACAACAAGACAGCGGTGCACAAGTAATAAAATAAAATGAAATGCTAATGCAATGGGTTAGTAGAATAAGGCTATGGGTTAGTATAAAATACAAATAAAGTTAAAAACTAAAAACATTTAAAAAGTTAAAAAATATTAAAAAATAAAGTGCACTAACAAGTGACAAAGTGACGAGTGACGACAAAGTGACGAGGGACAACAAAGTGACGAGTGAGAAATGACAGTTAAAGTGACAAGTGACAAATGGGGGCCGGGCTTCCTCCGGGCCGGGTAGCTCCTTCCCTCTTCCGCTTTTCCATAGGGTGTTTTGCCTAGTATGCTTTTGTGTGAACTTGAGACTCCTGTATACGTTAAGAGAAGAGGACGCAGCAATGACGTGTGCCGTTGGCGTGTAAAGCGCCTTTGCAACAACTTTTAACCAACCCAGAGCCAGCTCCGTTCTTGTTCAATGAACTTATCAAACAAATACATCAGACACCAGCATGTTTTAACCAAAAAGAGATGACTACGGCCGTATGATGGAAAATGTATACAACCTGATGGATGTCTTTGTTCTTGGTTCTTGAGCGGAAGCATAGACAGTAGTGGACTGTGTATTGTGAAAGCTCAGAAAACCTCAGAATACCTAACTTGACTAGCCCACAACACGGGAACACCCGCCTCCCCCAATCACTGGCCGCCCCTTGCCTAGCACGCACAGTGACTCACCATGATTGGCCGCAGTGAGGGGAATCACGTGACTCACCGAACTAAAGCCTAGTTTATGGTTGTGCGTTTTTAGAGAGATGCAAGGACACGCACTGGAAAGAGACCCTTGCGTGCCCCTTGCGTGCCTTTTTACCTCTTCTTGCGTGCGTCGACCCATTTTTCTAAACTAGCGTCAAAAGCAACGCAAGCCTCACACAGCCCGCAAGACTGCGATTGGTCTGCTGACTACATCCTTTCCAGAGTCTCACATTTCCGGTTTCATAGCACAATACTGCTATTTTTAAAAGGAAGCTTTTTGAAGAGAGAATGAATCAGATTGAAGAGTGTTTGTTGCAAGAAATCCGTAAATATGACCTCTAATACAACCCTTCATTGGTGGACTATAAGAACGCGCAGAATGCGCAGAATGGCCTTTTAAAAGGAAGCTTTTTGAAGAGAGAATGAATCACCTAGTGTTCTGGCAGTGAATTGCTCTGCAACACGCGCAACCCTTTTAGAACCATGAATTGAAACGAGTCCATCGATAAGACGAAGCGCGAAAAGCCGCGGACGCAGTTGCAGAAGCATACCAGCGGCTTAACCCACACACTCCTGAACAGGGCCGCTACAATAACAATACAACAATACAACAATGTATTTAAACATGGAACATTTATTTCTGTTAATCTATTTTAAAGTCAGAGCTGCTGTGCATACACCTCCGTACTTCTGTGTCCGCAAGGCCCCAAAGGTTTGGCACAGACTGATGGGTTTTAACGTGGAGGTCATTTGGCAGTGTTACAATTTCAATCTCCACTTGTCCAGTATCCGCATTGAACATAGCACTAGAACAAACACATAACTAAGTGCTGCCAATAGAGTGCAGATCTGAGGCAAGTGTGACCGCATCAATCACAGTCTTAAGTTAAATTGAATGTAAACAAATCCCAGTTGTCTAACTTCCTGTCTAGGCAGCAACTGGTCGCATAATTTTAACTCACGCGTCTCACCAGACATACACTCTCTCTTTTTATCCATGCAGCTGTCTGCACCACCTGCAGGCTTGAGTCTCAGGTGTGTCAGCTAAAGCCTTAAGCGCTTTATGCTTCTGGTCTACCTTTACACACAAGCTTATGCTCATTAACAATCCCCCCCCTTAATAATACAAATCTGCCTTTCATATCTCAGTGCCTTTCCTGTTAATGACACCACCGCACGTCACTGAAAATACAACGCTACAACATTGATATTAGGACAAACTCTCCTAGATTACATTGGCTACTAAGAAGACACGCACTAAATAAAATCTAAAATTCTGCGTCTGATTTTAGTCAAATCTGAACCCATTAACCGGAGGATTCATAACTGGAGGAATTGACTGCGCTAAATTACTCGATGCAATTGTGATCACAAAATACAGCACAGACCAAATTGAACAAAGAAATGAAACGTGGCAAACATCTTTGATGTCTCCAGAACTTTATTTTAAAATGCAAAACACTAACAAGGGAAGAGTTATGTCAAGGGGAACTTGAAGATAGAATTTACAATATAAATTAACATATTTATTCAATGTGTTTTTAATTGAACATAAATTAAGGAACTGTAGGGGTGATGTGGTTTGGGGGGAGTGAATGTTGGGTGGTGATCCGCTTTTTGTTTTGTCCCTAAAATGCATAAACTCCTACTTTTCAATAATTGCATGTTTAGGAAAGGACATTAAAATGTCCATTTGATGATACAGTATATGATTTCTACACATAACAGTTAAGGATGTATCGTAAACACAAACACACACTGAAAATTGAAATGCTTTGTGAGTCAACATACATTGAGGGTTGTATTCATTATGTAAAAGCGATTAGGACATTATGCAGACAAAAACAAAAACGTCCATTTAACTTTTTCTCACATTAGATTTAGTTAAGATAATTCTCATTGGCCGTATTTTTTGGCGAAGAAAGATGAACCTAAAACTCTGTTTTGTATCTTTGTCAATTTAAATCCATAAACTAGAGGATTCATCACAGGGGGAATGAGGACAAATTCTATAGAGATGAAGTTCTGAAGGCTCTGAGGTAAATCTGTGGAGCCAAATCGCATAAAAACAAAATCAAAAAGAGGTACAACAATGAACATGACTAAAGAGATTAAATGAGGCACACACGTCTGCATAAACTTCACCCTGTCATCTTTGGACTTCACACATGTTCTAATAAGGTGCATATAAGACCAAATTATGAATGGTCCATGAGAAAAATAAATTATCAATGTAAAATATGCAGTTATGTCTTTTGTGTCAGATTTATAGCAAGCAAGTTGAACAATTACCCAGTTCACACAAAACAGTCTGTCAATCTTTACACCACATAACTTCAGTCTTGACGTCAGCAGAATATTGATGGAAAAGAGGGCGAAAGGTGTGAACCAGGAGAAACATATCAGCAGAGAGACCTTCCTCTTTGTCATGACAGACTGGTAGTGAAGAGGTCGACATATAGCCAGATATCTGTCATAGGCCATAACTGCTAGGATGGATAATTCACAACAAGCAAATGAATACATGACAAAAGCCTGTAAAAGGCACCATTCATAGGATGTTTGATGAGAGGAAGAAAACAGATCTAAGAGGAACTTGGGGTAGAAACCTGTGGTCCCATAAAGACCATTCATGCAAAAACTACACAATAAAATGTACATGGGTTCATGTAAGTTTTCATCCAAGATAACAATCATGATGATAGAAATATTGAGAAAAAAAATCATACAGTAATACAGTAAAGTGAATGTAAAGAGTGTTACTCTGTACTCATTTGTCTCGTTTAACCCTGATAGAATGAAGAATCTTACCACAGAAACATTATCCATAATAAGATAAGCACTTGTCATACCTCTCTGCTCAAATTCTACTTACTCGGTGTCACAGCACGAATGCCTACGGAAAGAAAGGTTTACACGGTGCTGAAGCTACACCCCCATCAAAGACCGTTGTCCCTCTACACCTTCTTTTATAACACCTTTGGCAACAACAACAAATCCAACTGGGAAATAAAACTCAAAGCTAGAAAGCAAAGTAGAAGAAATCAAAACAAGTACACCGTGTTTCCTATATATATATATATATATATATATATATATATATATATGTATTCGAAATTTCCAATCAGTATCACTACTACTACTTTCTAGCTCGCTCGCTCGCTCGGACGCAAACACAAACACAAACACACACACACACACACACACACCTGTAGTTATCACTTAGGCTTCGGTGGCAATCACCGGGATTAAAAGACCGAAACAGCGTCCGTTTGGGGCAATGTTAACATTAGCTTCCACAACCTTTATTGGTTACATACAAACACTACATACATACAAAACAAGAGAAGAATTTACTGTACACAGTTACAGTAAAAAAACAAAACTATGCTGCATGTTGAGAGTATGCATCAATTGTGGGACTCACTTGCCCATAGTTATATCGCAATTCTTTGACTCTTTCTGAATTGCGTTCAAATGGCACCCTGTAGACCTGCTTCATCCTGAGATGATTTCAGCGCAAGACACGGTCCAGTGTTGATAAGCTTACCCTATCAATATTTTGAAATATGTCATTGTTTTCTATTATTTTTCTTTGTATTTGCTGTAATGTTATGCCATTGTTTTCTAGGACCATATTACGGTAATGATTTCAGTTTCCTGTTCAGGAGACGGAACACGTTCCCGACCACCTTGTGTTGGTAATCTTTCAGTTCTGCCAAACAAATAGTAAAATACTGTACATACAAAGTAGGTATACATTTCCTAAATACTTGAAACATACTTTACAGTATTTTTACAGTCCTACAGAACAGTCCACAGGCAATACTGTACTACTGTACTCATTGAGTACTGTATTGATTTGCAGTACTGCAATTCTCTAGTGAGAGTAGATTTCTTACCCATTCTCATTTCGGAAAGTACAGATGATGGATGCTACAGTGTACCTGCTCAGATTTGGCTGTACTCTTTGCCCAGCCTCCCTCATTGTTAGACCATGGTGGACCACAATATCAACCAAAGTGGCTCGGATCTCATCAGAGATTACGGTCCTTGGCCATCCTCGTCCTCCTCTGGCTCTGCCTCTGTTTCCAATGTTGGCATCCATTGCTCCATTGAAGAGCTCACCTGTTGCCCTTTTATGCTAAAGCTCTGATTGCTAATTGTAAAACTGTGTGACGGGTGTTTGCCCTTGTGATGAGTCTGTGTGCATATTTGAATGGCAGTGTGTTCCTTGTGAAAACAAGATATTTTCTGCATGAAAATTGTGCCAAAAGCAGAGAATTGTGAGTAGTGTTTCGAAAAAAGTGTGTTTTAGAACTGCAATTTGAGTGTAAAGCAGGAATTGTGCTTGTAGATTAGCAGAATTGGTTCAGGGGGTTGGTGAATGAGTTACATGTTGTGGTCATTTTGTCTCAAGTACCAGAATTTGGGTGTAAACAACTACGATAAACTGTAATAAAACCAAAAATTCTGATTCTGATTTGAGTCAATTTAAACCCACAAACCAGAACATTCCTAACTGGAGCAATTAACAGAAATTAAACAGTTAGACTACTTATAATGATATGCTTTGTCTAGTCATCACAGAATGGTTAGATAGTGGTTGACTTATAGCCACATGTCTGTCATAGGCCACGTCAGCTAGAATCGATAAGCCACTTCCAGATGATGTGTAGCACAAAACCCTGCAGAAGCCAGGGAGTGTGTTGTCTCACTTAAACCTGAAAGCGTAAACAAAGTTATTACTGATACGTGATCCATCACAATGTTTCACATTTTTTAAATGTTGATACCATAGAGAGATAGATAGAAGATATTGTATTTTCAAAACATACAATGGGTACAGTTCCCAGAAACAACATATTATAAACCACTGAACATGGATGATCCAATACAGTCATGGATTGGATTGTCCAATCAGCTTGTTGCCACTCATTCCGTGGGATCGGATAAAAAAGACTGCACAAATTGCAACAAAGAAGAATTTGCATCGTCATTGCAGCCGTAACCTTAGCTTTAAAAAAGAGTAAGCTATTAGCTTACAGTTAATGGGGAGTTTTGATTTTGAAGAGTTAGGAACATTTAAACTGTATTTCATTTATTATTTTATTTTACCAGCTAGCATTATGGTTTGACACTTTTACAAAAGAGCAACAGTTCACTATTCAGGTGATACAATAAACAACCTCACAACATCAACTTTATTTGAATATTTATTTATTTGTTCAATTTTATTTGTATAGCACATTTCAACCAAACAAAAACTACAAATAGAAGTAGAAGAAGAAGTATTCCAAAATCACAATGCGCAGAAATGATCTATTAAAGACAGCATCAAACAGAAAAGTCTCTAATCTGGATTTAAAAGAGCTACGGGACTCAGCAGCTACTGATAGAATATAGATTCATGAGAACTTTCAGAGGATTAGGAAAAGGTTTTACGTATTTTAAAGATGGGGAGGCATTTTGTAAGCTTAGTAAATATAATGCAGATTGTTTTCTATGTTTTTATTAATTTGAGCATTTATGGTGAAAGATGCTATTTCGACTAATTACACATTCATAGCCCCCCCCAGTAGAGACCCACAGAAGAACACGTTATCCGTAGTCTAAGGAGGGGCAGTTTTTCAAATCTAACATTAATTTCTCTAGCTTTTCAATGAAAAATCAAGCAAAGTTGAACAGAGCTTTGTATTAACGAAAAACACAGATCTGCTATGAGCGAAACAACTCTGTTTTACAAGGGCAATGAGTCCCTGCTTGAGATGACAGTTACTTCAGAGTGCTTTGGAATGCTGTGTGTAGCTGCTAGTGGACATTTGTTCCCCTAATAAACGCCCTTTCTTTACTACACACTGTTTGTGTAAAGCCTCATTAGGTTGAATGTACATATCGAGTATTTTTCCCAAATGACAAGCATTTAAAAAACTTTTTTTTTTTCTGCAAACCAACTCGGGAGTTCTTACTACACATGACATTTTGAATGCTGTTTCTTATTTTTGTCAGTTTCAAACCATATATCAAGGGATTGATAATTGGAGGAATGAGGAGAAATTCCATTGCCATTACATTTTGCGCACCTTGTGGTAAATCTTTTGAACCAAATCGCATGTACAACAAATCAAACAGCAAAGAAGCGACCACTATGATTAAAGAGAACAAATGTGGTACACATGTCTGCATGAATTTACTCATATTCTCTTTGGATTTCCGGCATGTGCTGATCATGTATATATAAGACCAACAAACAAACACACAATGGCCAAAATAAAAAGTATAATTAAAAGCTGGGATTACAATTGTTCCCACGGAGGCAGAACAAGCCATTCTAGAAATCAACCAATTAACACAGAAGATCTTTGGTATGTGTGAGCCGCATAACCTCGATGTTGCAGTTGTCACTGTGCTTATGAGTATCAGTAGAAAGGGAATAAGCCAAGCAAAAAACACAAAAACACACATTCTCTGTCTAGTCATCCCAGAATGGTACACCAGAGGGCGACATATAGCAACATATCTGTCGTAGGCCATGAGCACCAGAAGAGAGAAATCAGCACAAGCCGAAGAGTGCAACACAAAACCCTGCAGAAGGCATCCAGCATAAGAGATGACGTGTGTGGGAGACAGTAGATCCATGAGGAATTTGGGGTAAAAGCCTGCTGTTCCGTAGAGTCCATTGATGCACAGGTTGCAGAGGAAGATGTACATGGGCTCGTGGAGCTTTTTGTCCGCAATGACTGTCACAATAATGGTCAAATTTACCAGCCATATCACAGAGTAACACAACAACGTCAGAGCAAAGAGAAAACCTCTGTAGTGTGTTGTCTCACTTAAACCTGAAAGAGTGAACATAGTTATTACTGAAACATTATCCATCACAACATTTTACAGTTTCACATTTGAATACTTAACAGAGAGAAATGGCCATTGTTCAACCTCAACAGTGGGAGGAAAAATGGTGCATCCCCGATTGTGGCCACCAGTCCTCTTACATGATGTGTAACCAGTGGTTTATATTCTCTCATGACAGTTATCCTCAATACCATTGTTGATATGGGACTTGATTCAATCCTAATCAGGGATGGCAGTTAAAAAGAACACTTTATTTTATTTTTTGTAAGACTTTAAATCCCTGAAATAAAACAGAAGTCTGAATAAATAAAGCCTTCCACCTGACTGCCAAATTCAGCAATAAGTTGTGACTCTCTAACGTATTGATTTAAGATCATTTAAAAGAGGGACTTTAAATTGTGGAAACATCCTGAAAATGTTTTGTTATTCTTTGTAACTCTGATGGTGCATTAAATTAGAAATAAATTAGCCCAAGGATAGGATTGTTTGCTATAACTTCATCAAATTCACTCCATGATTTTTCAATTCATACAATTTGTAACTCTGATGGTGCAACAAATTAGAAATAAATCAGCCCAAGGATAGGATAGTTTGCTATATCTTCATCAAATTCACTCCATGATTTTTCAATTCATACTCTTTGTACCAGAGATTACTTTCCTCTTGTAACAAAGTCTTTCAATACCGTTCCCACAAACCTGCAAATCAACACCACCTTTTTGACATTGTTAAAGACTAATCCCTCATTGTGTTCGAAAAAGTAAGAAAAATAGGTTAGATTGGAGATTATGTTATTTCATCACAACAACAAAAAGGCCAGTGGAATAACACTCTCAGGCTACATTTGCCTGGCACCTTTTCACAGCGCCATATTTTTTCCCAAAGTACACTTTGTCTGCTTGATTCTTAGTTTGTATAGTTTTGCAAAGTTTTGTAAATGCTCTTATATCTCATGAGGATTTTGAGTTTATCCAACCTCTTTTGGGGTGTAAAATGAGTCTTGCAGCCTTTTCATTCTGTCTCGTTGCCTGTAAAAGTTTCCTAAATTCAAAGCTAGTACAGGGAACTGTCATTATGAGTTGTTTTGGTGTGGTCGTGTTTGCAGCGTTTTCCTGCAGCAGGGTCTGTCTATCTTCCCAACTCAGTCCTGGTTCTGGTTCTGTAGTGGTCTCTTGCGGACCCATTAACCCTCCTGTTACTTTTGGGGTCAATTTGATTTCATTTTCTTTACTTCAAATTTTATGACTTTTCGTAATTTAACGGGGACAACTGGGTAAACATGAAATTAACATGATGATATGTTTTCAATACTTCGGGGTCAATTTGACCCCAGGCCGTTTTAGCTGGTCAGACACAAAACCTGCACCTACAAACCCAAGCACATGCACCTGCAGTATATTTTCAAATAATCTACAAAGTAACACATTTGAACCAATTTGGGTTTGGTGGGGGGGTGGAACTGGGACTGCTGCAAGAGGGGCTATTGTGAGACTGACCGCCTGTGAGTGCTATGAACGCTTGCACAGCACCCTTCTAAAGCATTTATCTTGGTGCTTTGGGTGCTTTCTTATTCTGCTCTCTCTCTCTCAACTGAACATTACTTTCAAAGAAAGATTTTCTGTCAGTGAGGTGTTGACCATGAAAATGACATAGAGGAGAATGTGTCTAAGACAAAAGATGATGTTGAGGAGGACCCTGATTATGAGGCATCCTCCTGATGAGAATATGACCCCCATTATTCACCATCTGGTTGTCTCTCAACCACCAGAAAACCGTCTACCTTCCAAAAATGTAAAGTTATTATGGTCCGTCTCCCCACTTGAACAATAGGTGCTTCTAATGTCATAAAAATGGTTCCAGGTTCCGATAGATACGCTGTCAGCCATGTCCAATGACATAAAATCCGCATTTGAGCCAATCGAAAAGGATATACTGGAGATGAAAAATTTAGAGCGCAGGCGTGTACGGGGAAAGTTGGATACACTTGGATGTGACTGACTTGCAAGCCTACATTGGGTTGCTCATTTTGGCAGGAATGTACAAGTCAAAAGACAAGACAACAGCAAGCCTTTGGGCTGCTGACACTGGAAGGGCAATGTTTTTAAAATGATCTCTTTTAAATGGTATGTCAGTCAGTGACATTTTATTTTGATCTGCATATTTCTCCATAGTCGCTTAACAGTTATTTCTGGATGTTTAAAGGGGTGGGTGTCTTTTTAAAAAAATGTAATGCGCTATTTAGGTAGTCAACAAACTAGGACTACATAAACGTGGTGAAAAAATATAATTAAGATCATTTTCTGGGTGTTTAAATGGTCAAATTGACCCCAATGGTAAAAGATGTTAGTAAATTTGAAGGTAACAGGAAGGTTAATACGGGCTTGGTATCAGCGTGGTGTGGTTCCTTCTTCAGTCAGGCGTCTCCCCTGACCACCGCTGTCCACCACGGGGTTGGAGCGTTTCCGCCCCTTGATGCACAGGGGCATCAAGACCTTGAGGTCACAACTCACTGGGCCAGCTTCAGCAATGGGAGTTTTGGACATACTCAGCCCCTCAACACCCATTGCTTTTAGCATCTCTGGACGGATCTCATAAATTCCCGGGGCTTCGCCACTGCAGAGTTGTTTGACTACCTGAGTGACCTCCACCAGGCAAATTGAGGATGTACATACACCACTCTGGTCCAATGTCCCCCTACCTCCACAGGAATGTGAGAGAGAGGAAAATCTTTTGGACCGGGTGTCCTCCAGACGTTCCAAGTTCACCCACACTACGCGCTTGGTTTTACCAGTTCTAACCCGAGTCCTCTGACCCAGCTCACCACCCCTCTGCCCCTCTCTTTACCCAAGTGTCTAAAACATGCAGCCTCAGATCAGACGATACGATTACAAAATTGATCATTGATCTTTGGCCTAGGGTGCTCTGGTACCTACACTTATCCTTATACACCTAAACATCCTTATTTTCGAACATGGTGTTTGTTATGGACAATCCGTGACTGGCAGAGAAGTCCAATAACAAACGACCACTCAGGTTCAGATCAGGGAGGCCATTCCTCCCAATCACGCCTCTCCAGTTATCTCTCCATCGTTGCCCACTAGCGAACTGAAGTCTCCCAATATGACTATGGAGGCCCCAACTGGAACCCCATGCAGGATTTCATTCAGGCTCTCCAAAAAGGCTGAATACTCCCAGCTGCTGTTTGGTGCATATGCACAGACAACAGTCAAAGTTTCCTGCCGCACAACCCAAAGGCGTAGGGAAGCGACCGTCTTGTCCACCGGGGTAAACTCCAATGTAGCAGCACTCAGCCGGGGATTTGTGACCCACCTGGCGCCTTACACCTGGGCCACTCCAGAGTAGAATAGAATCCATCCTCTATCCAGGAGTACATTTCAAGAGCTGAGGGTGTGCGTAGAGGTAAGCCCCACCAGATCCAACCGATCCACCTCCCGCACAAGCTCCTGTTCCGGCTAGACCCCCCCACTGTCGGCGCCACCCTTGTAGCAGCGCACCCAACCCCACAGGTTTCCCCAACAGGTGGTAAGCCCATGGGAATTAAAGATCCGGGGTGGCGGGTCACTCCTTTGAGCTGTGCCCATCCGGGCTCCCCAGCAAGCCCAGCCACCAGACGCTCATTGTCAAGCCCTCTATCTGGGCCTGGCTCCAAATGGGGGCCACAGAGCTGACTACACCCATATGATGGAAAATGTGTACAACCTGATGGATGTCTTTGTTCTTGATTCTTGAGCGGAAGCATAGACAGTAGTGAACTGTGTATTGTGAAAGCTCAGAAAACCTCTGTGTCACAACCACTTTACTGTAACTTAACGAATCCTGAAGTTCTTCATGACGGGCTAGGTTTTTGAACACAAAAGAATAATTAATGAAACAAAAATGTTCTGTTTCTGCTTTTAGTCAATTTGAATCCATGAACCAGAGGATTCATAACTTAACGGTCTTTGCGATATCATACTCGAACCAAACGTGACAGACATCTTTAATGTTTGAAGTACTTTATTTTCAAATGCAAAACAATGAAAAAGGAAGAGTTATGTCAAGTTAATCTGAAGAGAGAGGATTTATAATGTGGATGAACATATTTATTCAATGCCTTTTGAATGATCATTAACCTTGTGTGTAAAGGTAGACTACAAGAAAAAGCGCTTAAGGCCTCAACAGGCACAGATGAGACTTGAGCCTGCAGAAAGCTGGTGCAGAAAGCTGCATGGATAAAAAAAAGAGAGTGTATGTTGGGTGAAACGCTTGAGTAAAATCATGCAACGGCTGCTGCCTAGACAAGAAGTTAGACAAGTGTAATTTGTATACGTTCAATTTTGAAGACATGCTTGATGCAATCACACCTGTTTCAGATCTGCGCTCTTCTGGGAGCACTTAGTTGTGTGAGTCAATAGATTAAGCAATCCATGTCCTTAGGTGGGTTGATTCTGTTACAAAGTGCAACAGTTTATGTCCTTTTTTCAATTTAATTTTCTGTAAAAACGTGAGTGTGGGTCCATGACACTCATATGCACTTTATATTTTTAACCCTTGAAATGTCTGCATTCATTTCTGGTTTACAATAATTGCAATATGTGCATCAACAATAATTTTAAATGTCCATTTGGTCATATATGTTGCATGCAGCATACGATTTATATACATAGCAGTTATATCTACAAGATATAGCTTCAACAAACGCAAACACACTGAAAATTGAAATGCTTTGTTAGTCAACATGCAGAGAGTTGTATTCATCATGTAGAGCAGTATGAGATATTCTGCATACATCTTGATTAATTGATTGATTGATCTTGACTGAAAAAAACCCATCATGTTCATTTCTTTCTCACATTAGATTCAGATTGGACCTAATGACGGTAATTTCTTTCGGAAAAAAAAAAGAAACATAAAATTCTGTTTCGTATCTTCGTCAATTTAAATCCATAAACTAGAGGATTCATCACTGGAGGAATGAGGAAGAATTCCATAGCGATGAAGTTCTGAAAGCTCTGAGGTAAATCTGTTAAGCCAAATTGCTTATGCATAAAATCAAAAAGAACTGCCACAATGAACGTGACTAAAGAGACTAAATGAGGCACACACGTCTGCATAAACCTCACTCTGTCATCTTTGGACTTCACACACGTTCTTATAAGATGCATATAAGTCCAAATGATGAATGGTCCATGAGACATATAAAAGATAATTGTAAAATATGCAGTTATGTTGTTTGAAAAGGTGTCAGTTTCATTGCAAGCAAGTTTAAGAATTACCCAGTTCACACAAAACAGTCTGTATATGTTTACACCACATAACTTCAGTCTGGACGTCATCAGAATATTAATGGAAAGGATGCAGAAAGGTGTGAACCAGGAGAAACATATCAGCTGAGAGACCTTCCTCTTTGTCATGACAGACTGGTAGTGAAGAGGTCGACATATAGCCAGATATCTGTCGAATGCCATAACTGCTAGGATGGATAATTCACAGCAAGCATATGAATTCATGACAAAAGCCTGTAAAAGGCACCATTCATAGGAAATCTGATGAGAGGAAGAAAACAGATCTAAGAGGAACTTGGGGTAGAAACCCGTGGTCCCATAAAGACCATTCATGCAAAAACTACACAATAAAATGTACATTGGTTCATGTAAAGTTGCATCCAAGACAATAATCATGATGATAGAAATATTGAAAAACAAAATCATACAGTAATACAGTAAAGTGAATGTAAAGAGTGTTACTCTGTAATCATTTGTCTTGTTCAACCCTGATAGAATGAAAATTCTTACAACAGAAACATTATCCATAATAACATCACTACTTGTCATACCTTTCTCCTCAAATTCTACTTACTCTGTGTCACAGCATGAATGCCTACGGAAAGAAGGTTTACACGGTGCTGAAGCTACGCCTTCCAATCAAAAGTCTGGTTGTTCCTTTACCACCTTCTTTTTATAAACACCTTTGGCCAACAACCAACAAATTCCAACCTGGAGAATTTTAACGCTACTTCAAAGCTAGAAAAAAAAAGTTAAAGTTAGAGGTGATTTAACCAACAAGCCACCCTGTGTCTGTGCTTTTAATAAAACATATTCATATATATATATATATATATATAAACCATGTATATATCTCTTGATACATACAACTTAAATAATAAAATTAAAAACAGGTTAGTTAGTCACTTTAGTCAGTTATGTCAGTGATTCTCACCCGGGGGGGGGTCGATTTCAGTGGGCGTCATCCGCATTTAATTTCCAGTCGGAGGGCTTTCTCTGCTCTGACTGTAGCTGAGAGGACCACCTGTGCATGTCGGGGAGGGAGGGGAGGAGGGGGGTTGATGCCAGCACCCGCTGCTCAATGACAAAGTGGGAACAACCCCCCCCCCCCAGCCCCTCCACTCCTCCTCCTCCGTTGGAAAATTTTGGTCGTGGCTTGTCATTAAGTTGTGATGGTGGAGGCCTGAGAACTATTTAGGGTCATGGGATAGGATGAAGTTAATACAATCTCATGTCTGACCTAAAAATCCCTTCGTTGTAATTTAAAGTGCTGTTAATTGTACAGTACCACAATGAAGCAGATATATTCAAAACAGCTTGTAAATATTCGTCATTTCACACTTTCTTCATTCTTATTTTGACCTGCAGTCCTAAAGAATGAAATGCGTAGATGTGCGTGCAAATTAATGTTTACCTTGTTTTTGGAAAACAGCGGGTCATTTTATCTATTCTATAATATTTTTGTTTACTAAGGGGTAACCATGAGCATGTTTTTTCATTATACTTTTCTCATTTTCTCAGCTGTAACAAAAAACGGTTACATCGGCTCAGTTTTCCATCTGATCTGAAGTCCAAAGTCAAGTCATTAAAAAATATGTATGTTTATATAACACATGCGCTAGTCTGTATCTTGACAATTAATTTCATTAAACTTTAACTTTAAAAAGTTAAACATGTTGCTATAATACTATGTATAATACAGTATTATGAATGTCAAATGCTAAATGTTAAATTTGGCATTAACACACTATCCGTAGCTCCTCTGAACTGTTTTTCCAATAGTCTGTGTTTATGAAATACCAGGCATAAATGAGCTGTGGTGTTGTTCTATCTCATTCTGTCCCACTTTAGCATCTTTAAAATGTGCCTTCTGATTTCTGGTAATTTAATGCCGTACAGAAGAGGATTCAGAACTGGAGGAATAACAAAAAAACTCCAGTGAAAAGATAATGGCCAAATAAGGATGTATCTCTTCTATATTATACCGACTTAAGGCGATATCACTAAATCCTATGACAGAATAAATCCCAAATGAAACAACGTGTGGCAGACAGCTCTGTACTACTTTCCTTCTGAATTCTGCTGAGCTTTTCCAGCAAACAACTACAATTTGAAAATAGGTGTACAAGACATAAAAAAGCGGAAATAGAACTGTGGCTCCGGTCACAATCATACCGACAATGTTGTTGACAACTGTGGTAACACATGATAATTTAGCTATATTCCACACGGCACAAAACACTTTCTGTATCTCATTACCGCATAAAGGAAGCCGGGAAGATAAATAAACGCATACTGTGAGACCAAAAGCTGGAAAAATCCAAGCCAACGCTACCAATTTCAGCACGGTTTTGGATGTCATCTTTCTGTGATAGTGTAAAGGACGGCACACAGCCAAATATCTATCATAGGCCATAATGGCCAGAATGGTGAACTCGTGGGACGCATATGTGTATATTACATAAATCTGAAAGAAACAAGCAGGACGTAAGATCATATGAGTGTCAGACAAAAGGTCCGTCAGAAATCGGGGAAAGAAGCCAATAGAACCATACAGAGCGTTGACAGATAAACATGCAATAAACACGTACATGGGCTTGTGCAGCGCTTTCTCTCGGAATATCACCAGTATGATGACAAGGTTAGCAGCTACAATAAAGGTGTAGATCAGGAGGCAAAAAACAAAGACAGGATAGTGGAAGTGTCCAATGCTCACAAACATGGTTAAATTAAAATAAAAGGAACCAGTACTGTTTTCCATTCCACTCAGGAACATATATTCTTACGTTTTACTTTGTTGTTGGACAAACTTCAGGTCTACTGAATCGCTGATCTGATTTGACTTTGCCGCCTCTCTTTATCTGTGTGAAGGAAAATACAAGCAGTTGTGTGACAAAATGCTTTGGTATAGTCATTGTAATGTCATATAACATTGGTCATGCATATAAGAGTTTCATTATACTTACTGAACTAGTATTCAGAACTCCTCCTCATGTCTGTGTTCTACATTTTGATCCTCGTGAAAGCTTTAGAAGTGCACGTAATGGGAGGAGTCTTTTATTTTGTTGGACTACACAGGTCAACCCAGCATTTACCCAACAGAGCATTGTTATGGTACCAGGATTGATTTGACTTAAGTAATTGTTTACTACGGCTGATCCAACTTGTTGCCTGTAAAACCCCTTGTTATGGCGTGCCCGGGGGGAGCTGCTTTCTTCCACAATTGGTTCCATTTTCCTTATGGGTTAGTTAAATCATTATGCAACTTTTCAGCGTCAGAGGTTAAGTTGACACACAGTTGCACATGCAGGCCCACTTGCATCATCGTATTTTGCCTGACACACTTTGATTATTGAACCTGAGCCTAAAGCAACGCCTTCTAGTGGTGCTTTTATGAATTCAAATGCTCTTTTTGACAAAAACCACCCAGCACGGCAGGTTGAGGTAAAGAACTATTGGTTATAGTCATACGTTGGCCTTGAGTATTGAGGGTCGGATGGAATCAGGAATCAGGAATCAGGAAACATTTATTAGCCAAAATATGTCAAACATACAAGGAATTTGTCTTGACGGTTACTCCGCGACAGTAGACAGACAAGACAACAGTGCACAAGTAATAAAATAAAGTGGGATGAAATGCTAATGCAATGGGTTAATAGAATAAGGCTAAGGCTATGGGTTAGTATAAAACAAGGGAATAAAGTTAAAAAAATTTAAATAAAAAATTGTTAAAAAGAAAAATATTAAGCATAAAAGTGCACTAACGAACAAGTAACAGACAAGAGACAAAGTGACAAGTGACAAAGTGATGAATTGCAGTTAAAGTGGCATGTGCAGTATGAAGGGGAGTGACCGGTGGAATGTTATAGTCAGTCAGTGGGGGACCGAGCTCTGTTGATGAGCCCGACTGCTGAGCCTTCTTGGTGATGGAGCTTATGTTCAGCTCCCACTTGAGGTCCTGGGTGATGATGGAGCCCAGGAAACGAAAGGAATCCACAATAGTGACGGGGGAGTCACACAGGGTGATGGGGGAGGGTGGGGCTCTGTTCCGCCGGAAATCCACTACCATCTCCACTGTCTTTAGAGCGTTGAGCTCCAGGTTGTTCTGGCTGCACCACGACACCAGATGGTCAGACTCCCACCTGTAGGCGGACTCGTCCCCACCAGAGATTAGTCCAATGAGGGTGGTATCATCCGCAAACTTCAGAAGCTTGACGGACTGGTGGCTGGAGGTGCAGCTGTTGGTGTACAGGGAGAAGAGCAGAGGGGAAAGAACGCAGCCTTGGGGGGAACCGGTGCTGATGGTCCGAGAGGCTGAGACATGTTTCCCCAGCTTCACGTGCGGCTTCCTGTCAGACAGGAAGTCTGTGATCCACTTGCAGGTGGAGTCGGGCACGTGCAGCTGGGAGAGTTTGTCCTGCAGCAGAGACGGGATGATGGTGTTGAAGGCAGAGCTGAAGTCCACAAACAGGATCCTGGCGTAGGTTCCTGGGGAGTCCAGATGCTGGAGGATGTAGTGGAGGGCCATGTTGACATCATCTGATTGGCTGGGGGAGGGAGGGGAGGGGGACTGCAGCAGGTTGGTGGAGCTGTGGGGGATGGGATCAGGACATTGTCGTTCAAATCTACTGCAGGGTTAGGGTTAGATTTGAAAGACAATGTCCTGATCCCATCCCCCACAGCTCCACCAACCTGCTGCAGTCCCCCATTGATCTGGGCATAGGCCATAGAGAGACAGCGAGATCCTCCTTGTGGCACCGGCACGCACCGGCAGTCGCCAGTCAGGTTGCAGGACTGTTGTGAGAGTGAGAGTAGGTGTCTGTCTCTATCTGTCAGCCCTGCTATAGTCTGATGACTCTGCCTTCGCCCAATGTCCGCCGCGAACAACTCCAGGCTTTGGCGACCCTGAATAGGTTTAAGCTCATGGATGTACGGATGTACGGATGCAGTGAAGATGCCGTCACATAACGGCCTCCTGTGCGTTCAACCTTTCCTGTAAGAATGTGTCAGAGCACCACAAACTATTTTGCAAAGTAATTGATTGTTGATTGGAAAACCACATTCTGTTAAACTGGATTGCTCTTATACTGCGATCATTTATTTATGATTAAATTAAAAAGCTTGTGAGATTACAGTGGACATTTTATGGCTAATGCTGACTTTTCCTGTTTGTCTTATACATACAATTCTGTTGCAAATTGTTTTTAAATGGTTTTGCACTATTGTTTGTCTTTGAGAGACTCACGAAGATTCTCACAAAGACTGAACATACAGTAAGTTCAACAACTGAATAAACTGAACTGTATTAAACTAAGGAAGAACATTAACTTTGTTTAATGTAATTAGTTCTGCTTTCAGTAGAGGACTTGTTTGTGTAAATTAGTTCAGACCGTCTCTCCGGAGTGGGGTTGCTGTATTAATTGCTCTCAGAGGATGCTGGAGGTAATGACCTGTTGACCACTTCTTTTGTAATTACTGAATGTATTACTGAATGTGTATATGGAACTCTTTAAAAATAACAGTGGCAGTATTCCCTGTGTGGTAATCATAATTGAAGTGAAACTCTTTTACGTCTTTGTCATAGTCGCCGTTAAATACGAAGCAGGGACAAACATGACACTTTGAATCCTTTAAACTTCCCTTTCTTAAATTATACAAAACATCAAAGCATTTCTTTGGAAAACAATCCCATGAGAGCAGTTTACCGCATTGACCACTGGGTCTCAATTAGCTGGCTGTAGCCGTCCTCGTTCCCTGAGGCTTTTTGTTTTCCACTCCAGCTCACCAGGGAGGTCACAGCGATGAACCCATAACAACAGCATTTCGTCGGCTATGGAAACAAAATGCAAGTCACTCTGGAGATTAGGAATTACATCACTTGCATTTCATCATTATGAAGGCACATTTCTGACCCTCTAAGGTACACACGTACAAACAAAACACACGCACACTCAGACCACAAAAAGGTCAGCGACCTTTTAAGCTTAAAGGTCACAAAGTAACAGCCTGAAGAGAACAATCTTTATTTCAGTTTTTGATCAAAGGCAACAATAACACAAAGTAGTTAAAGTTGAACATTTCTCCCCACTTCCCGTCTTCCCCTGTAAGACGCGGTATTGACATTGAAAGTGGCCTTCAGTCTGTTATATATAATAATGTATAATATCTCCTGCAGTAGGTGACAGTTGTATTTGATTTTACGGTAAGGTTTTAGTTATTTGCTCTGACATTGCAGAAAAAGAAACAAGGTTAATTATCATGAAAGTTTGTGAACGCAGAGCTTTAAGATAATGCTGAAAAAGATAATACAAATATATCCCCTAGGGTGGCTGTGCAGGAGAGTCTAACAAATAAATAGACAAAATGGCTAATATGGTACACTGACACACACTGCCCTCTTAACAGGTGCATCACAAAAATGAGTTTCTGAAGCTGTTGAGCGTAAAGCAACGCCTGTATTATATATTATGTTAAGAGTCCAAATGCTCTGATTGGAGAAAAAAAAAGTCCAGCGATGAATACATATCGTAACATTCTTCATTCTATATTCAAATAGTGTTTCCTTTGAGCTTGGCCCCTTGCGTGACTGTTTGTTTGAAATGAAGTATTATACTCGATTGAGGTGCTCACACACTGTAAGCTTTGCGTATCGCTTCGTGCATTTGATGTTTTAAAACCTGCAGGATAAATAAACACATACACAGGATGGATGATGGAAGCGGCCTCTGTTTCAGACACAGTAGATCTAAAAATCAAACCTTCAGTCTCAACCTAAATTTTTGACCTGCCATCATGCACAGAGTAACCATTCTGTGTCGGATTTTAGTCAGGATGAGTCCATAGATTATAGGGTTGAGAATAGGGGGAATCATGAGAATTTGTATGGCCATGAAGTTCCGCAAACTCTGCGGCACAGATGCTGATCCGTACCTCGAGTACATGACGTCAAAAAGCAGAGCACACGTAACATTAATCAGACATAAAAAATGTGGCACACACGTCTGCGTGAACTTTCTCTTGCCCTCTCTGGACTTTAAAGCCGATTTGATCAACTGCACATAAGAACACACAATGAAGAGGACGTGCACGCAATAGAAAGCGATAACTATCAGTCCAACAATGTCGTTTGCAATCGTTAGACTACATGCAAGTTTGACAACAGACCAGTTTTCACAGTAGAGTTTATCAACTTTGAAACCACATAATTTCAACGTAGATGTCAAGGTTAAAACCATAACTTCACAGCACAGGGGCACAAGCCAGGTGAAACCGACTAAGACTGTAGTCCTTTGCACAGACATTATGGAGTGATACTCCAGGGGTCGACATATAGCCACGTATCTGTCATAGGCCATAAGAGCTAAAACCGAAAAATCAATTGTTGCATAAGTGTATATAACAAAGACTTGCAAAAGGCATCCTTCATATGATATTACCTGAATATCAGACAGGAGATCAAAGATAAATTTAGGATAAAAGCCTGTAGTCCCATAAAGTATATTGATGCAGAGATTACATATAAAAACATACATTGGTTCATGTAAGTGTTGATCTAATATTATAGTTAAAATGAGAGCCACATTAACGCCAACAATTAGGCAATAACAAAGTAAAGTAAGAGAGGAAAGTGTGATTTTGTAGTTGGCAGTGGCACTAAAGCCAGACAGCGAAAACAGAACTATATCAGATGTATTTGTCATGATGCAGGTTGCATTCACAATTCACAAGACCAGATGCAGCGCTGTAAAGAAAAAACATACCCTCAAAAAACATGTTAGTCATTGATGAATTCACAGCCTCACCAAATGTGTTCGCACTGTTCACGAATTATATTGACGGATGTTAAAGGGAAGTCCCTCTCTACTGCGCGCATGCTATTGGCTGCGGTGTGGGAGGTAAGAAAAAAGAAATCTTGTAAGAAGATTTTTGTTATTGAACTATATCGACGACAAAAGATTCTACAAATGTCACTAATTTAAGTTGTGACAAAAAAAAAAAGTTTGGTTTTATTTCCGAATTGTTAATGCAGAGTAACTTTATAATCCATCCTCTGTCACAGATCAGGCTGCAGAGAGCAAAGGCGTCATTTGGGACCCCGGTGGAACATGGGGCGACTGTGGGTGAGTTGGGAGCACGGTCGTCCTCCAATCAGAGTGTGGATGTTAGTTACTGTTGTGCATGTGAGTGTCACTGTGTATGGTTCTCCTGTCATCAGTGTATGAATGGGTGTGAATGGGTGAATGATGTCATGTAGTGTTAAAGAAGACTAGAAAAGCGCTATGCAAGTACAGTCCATTTACCATTTACATCGTGATGCCTCGTACTCAAACACAGTCGACGTGGATGGACAGCGTTTTCCTCTTATTGTTATTTCGTTTTGTTTTGTTTGTTGTGTCACAGATGAGCTATAACTGAATTCTGGTGTGCATCCCAGTGTCCCAGTGTCACATGATGATAAGAAATTATCCTTAAATATTGTGAATAAAAGCTTAACCACTAAATAACCTGTAGATTCCTGAGAGTATGGTCCAGATGAAGTTTAATGGTTCAGATTATGTCGGCGTTGTTAATATCAAGTTCCAGTAGTAACATCTTTTCCGTGGATGTTCACCACATCAGCATCATTCAAGATACTGCCATCCATCCACCACCCACAGTGCTCAGGTGCTAAATAACTGGTCTCACAAAGGTCTTCAATACACAGGTGCATCAGGCCCACAAGACCTCAATCACTGGCATTATTGTATCAGACGTACTGCATGGTAATAAAGTCCACTTTTGAGGGGTGAATGAGGTATGCCTTCCACATCCTGAGCTCATACTAAAACAATAAAAAGTGAGCCTTGGTTAAAAGTGCAAATATGCTTCTTACGTCAACATAGCTGTCCTGTTTACATGTGGTCAGAATCAGGTGTATTGACACATTGATTATTTACACATACACACAAGCAGTTGTGTTTTCATTACAAACATTTTCAGGAGACTAAACTGCCTAAAATGTTTTGTGTTACATGGACGGGCGTTTTCTCCTCATAAGGAAGGCCAGACTGGCGATGTGCCCTTGTGTTCATATTTATGTTCCCATAAGATGAGTGAAACACATTGAAACACATTGAAATCCATTAATGGCTCACCGACTTAATAGAAAGAGAAATAAAGAAAAAGTTGACAGGACAACAGGATTTTTGAGTGCTTACATATCAAACCTTCACTCTCAATTGAAACCTTTGACCTGCCATCCCACACAAATATATTATTCTGTTTCGTATTTTAGTCAGTATCAGTCCATAAATAATAGGGTTTAAAATTGGTGGAATTACGATAAATTGTATGGCGAAGAAGTTTTTTACACTTTGTGGCACAGATGCAGATCCATACCTCGAGTACATAACATCAAACAGCAAAGCAACAGAGACATTAAGCAGACACAACAAATGTGGCACACATGTCCGTGTGAACTTTCTCTTGCCCTTTGTGGACTTTAAAGCAGATTTTACCAACTGCACGTAAGAACACACAATGAAGAGGAAATGCACACAATAAAAAGCAATGACAATCAATCCAAATATGTCGTTTGTTCTCGTTGAGCCACAGGCAAGTTTAACAAGGGACCAGGTTCTCACAGTAGAGTTTATCTATTTGGAGCTACAAAATTTCAGTGGGGACGTCAAAATTGTGATCATTGATTCACAGCCACAGGGTGGCCAGCCATGAGAAA